TATAAATCTTAAATCTAGACTTGGAGAATTAAGGACTGAGAAATGACCATATCTTAAACTGTCTACAACAAAATGAACTTTAAAAGGACATGCCCACTGAATCTAGGTCCTTTGAGTAAAAAAAAAAAAAAAAAAAAAATTAATGTTGGAAACACAAATAGTGCAATTTGTGCAATTGGAGAATCTTGCCTTTTCTTGGCTACCCCCCCCCAAAAAAAAATACAGACCAACAAACTTGTTATGTACTCATCAAAATATGCACTATTGGGTACTCTGAACTCATTAACATTGACATCTGCAACAGGAGGCAACAGGGAAAAAAATCTTTCATCATCTTTTCCAATAAAGAATAGTTTGTGAAATGATGAGGGCATTTTATCTGCTTGCTGTGACCAGCGTGTGCACACATAAACCATAACAAGACTACAAATATATTCCAGAAGGAAGTCATTTAGTTATGGACAAAATAACAAAAATCAGAACTTCAAATGCTATGGTCTTGAATATTAGACCAGATTTAATAGCTCCATATGTTAAGAGTTTTCTACCTGCCCCTCTTCAGCAAAGGGATGGCTGGCTGCTCAACACACTCCTCCTCCCCTTTTCCTTTCTTTAAGCTGTGTACAGTGAAAATTGTCTTTCCTGTATTTTTGTTCTCTGGTAATGTAATAAGCATGATGGTGCCTTCTATTAATACATCATTCCAGTCTTGCTGGTAATCTTGTATAGTTTATGAATTGCTGTACTGCAAAGCCAAACAGCTGCAAAATGTTGAAAGAAATCATTGAAATGTGGAAAAATTGCAGTATCTTTAAAATCATTACTATGGACACTTATCTTGTTTTTTAGTTAACAACTTTGTTCTGTATGGGAGGGAGTCTTGTGTTTAGAGGGAGAGGAAAGGAGGAAATCACTTACTTGAGTAAGTTGACTTAGTTCCAATGTGAAAGGTAAAATGTATCACTTTAATGCTTGGAAAAGTCATACAACTTGATGTACATTTTAGTGACATTTTAAAAGCAGTCAGATTCCAAAAATGGCAAGTAGACCTAAAGGGAGGATACTGCAATTTTCAGATAGAACAGCAGCTCTTAAGTGTTCGCATTTTCTGTAGGGGGGG